CCCCCTGGTGGTCAGTGCGCTCCCACAGCGCTAGGGATGTCTGACTGTCAGGGAGCAGGCCTATGCCATCAGTCGGACATCCCCTGAGGACTCCAGAACTGTGAGAGGGCGCAGGCTGGGCTGAGGAACACCACCCCCCCCTTCGAGTGCACTAATTTTGTGCACTGGGCCTCTAGTCTATAATAATAAAGCGTAATATGCTAATTAGACCAGACGTCCTTCTGGGACGAAGCTGGGGCTGCAGCCGTGGGATCAAGGTAGCTGCCTCAGCTGCGATGGAGGGATCCAGGCAGCCATGACTGCAAAGGCCTACTCTTGCATGAATTTCGTACATCAGGCCTCTAGTAATAAAATAACAACTTACCTATGTTGAGTGCTTACTAAATTCCATGCGAAGTTCCAGTAATCCTCAATTCAAGCCAAACAGATAAGTGTTATAACTCTCTTCATATTTCCAATAAAAAAAAATCCAAGGACCAAATAAATGTAATGGAATTGCCCAAGGAAACTTGGGAAGTAAATGATGGAATATGATAGTTTACTTCCAAGAGGCATAATGTGCTATCTTTTCCCAATATCTATAAGCATGAGCCAACTGCTTGGCAAAGAGTTTGTACAAATTATCCAGGTTATAGAGACACACATTATGTTCTAATTGGATGTTTACTGACCAAGTACTATACACCAAGGACTACTCTCGGTATTAGCATTTCTCAATAATTATCACTAAGCATCCTTTCCTGGTGAGCTCATTGTGCAGAGTAAGGATCTTACAGTGATGAGATCATTTAAAATACAAACTAGTCACCTTTCCCCGCCACAATAGTGCCAAACTGGAATCAACCTAGATGCCCATCAACAGGAAAATGGACATATTGTGACTTAGCCATGCAATGGGACATTATTCAGATGTAAAAAGCATGAATAAGTCCCTAAATTATTACACTAAATGAAAAAAGTGAGACACAGAAGTACACAAGTACATACTTTATAATCCCAGTACGTAAACGTTTGGAATATGCAAATACTATCCTGGTGGTTGAAATCATCAGTCATTGCTTTGAAGGAGTTGACTAAGAAAGAATATGAAAGGATTATCTGGGATGATGGAAATGTTATTTGATACATTTACTTAAACTGGCTGAACAACATACTTAAGATCTGAGCATTTCGCTGTATATATTTATAAAAAAGAAATAAACAATAAAATATGTAATGCTAAAAATTGGAATGAGCAAAGGGAGGTACAAGCACAGGGAAATAAGTGAGTAACTTAGCTTTAAGGAGTCAGGGAATGCTTCATGGAAGACTGGACATGTGAGATGGGTTTCGAAGACTGAACAGGAATTTGCCAGTTGAAAGATATTCTAGGGCAGTGGTTCTCAACCTTCTGGCCCTTTAAATACAGTTCCTCATGTTGTGACACAACCATAAAATTATTTTTGTTGCTACTTCATAACTGTAATGTTGCTACTGTTATGAATCGTAATGTAAATATCTGATATGCAGGATGGTCTTAGGCGACCCCTGTGAAAGGGTCATTTGACCGCCAAAGGGGTCGCGACCCACAGGTTGAGAACCGCTGTTCTAGGGGAAAAGCAGAGAACGTTCATTTATTGATTTCTGATTTATCTACTCAAAAATTATGGTCCATTTATTTTCTGCTTGGTACAATTCTATGTTCTTGTGATGCAGCAGTGAAAAAGAGAGATGCAGTTTTTGCCTGCAGAAAGCTTAGACTCTAATGGGGAAGTCATAAGTTTTATGGAAACTTCATAAAAAATTTCAGGGAAAGTTGAGTTCATTGTGATTAGAATGTGTTGTAATGATAAGAGATAAGGTAGGTAGTGGTAAGTAAATTGGAATCAGATCAAGAATATTTAAATGTATAATACATTAAGGAGTGTGAATTGTATCTTAGAGGTGTGAGAGTCTAGTACAAATTTATAAATCCTAAGTTGATGTAGTTACCATGTTTTTATTTTTGAATTACAGTTAACATTTAATATTATATTAGTTTCAGAGATAGTTATAATTTTCAAGGAAGATTATTTGGACTATTTGAGGACACATTGGAATAGAGAGAAATTAGTGGAAAAGTGGTAAAGAGAATGCTGTTCCCAAAGTTAAGCCAAGGTTGGCAGAAACTCAGTACATGTGCCACCTCACATTTTTTTAGCCCATTGTAAGCAATGCTAACCCATAAAAGTACTCTTCCTCACCAAGTCAAAACAAGACTTTAACACTACACACACATCATCCAAAGTAGATTTGGCACATGCACTGTATGTGATTTCTGGTGGAGGCTCCAAAGGTCATTTCCTGGGTTCATGAGTCAGGAGCCCAGTAGAAAAAGGGGAGAGAGTAGATTGGAGAGCTAGCTCATAGGTAGAATTATTTGATTACTGGATAAGAGACTGATTCAGACTTTGATAGTGTGAATCTAAGAGACAGTAGCATTAATAATAATAATAGCAATAAATCATGGCACAGAATGCATTTAGATTCTTGGGGAAGTGTGATAGTTTTGACAAGATCTCACTTCCACATCTCATTAATTAATGTTCATATTTACTTCTCAGAGAAAGTCTACTGTAGCTCTTCTGATCAATTTAGAGTAAAGAACCTTTATTTCTAGGCTTTAATTCCTTGCCTTATAATTAGGTCAATAATTTTTACTTTGTTGTCAAATGCACATAGCTCAATTCTTACTCTCAGAGCTTTCCTAAAAATGT